CTATGTCTGCTTGCATGCCTCCATCATGACAATGGACTAAACCTATGGACTGTAGTCCAGGCCCAATTAAATGTTTGCCTTTATAAGAGTTACAATGATCATGGTGTCTCTTCACAGAAATAGAAACCCTGATGAAGTCACCTACCTAGAGGCACTCCTGTCAGCCATCCCTAGGACTCCAGTGGGGCACACCCCCAAAATGCTCATGTCTACCTGTTTAACCTTTTAAACGTATGGTCTAGAACCTTGAGTTTAAGCATGACCAAAACCTGTCAACTGTCCTTCTTTCTTGAACTGTTCTAATTGGGTTTTGTTTTGTTTCATTTTGTTTTTATCAACTTGACACAAGCTAAAGTTATCTGAGAAGAGGAAATTACAACTAAGAAAATGACTCCATAGGTTGGTCTATAGGCAACCTTGTGTGGCATTTTCTTAACTAGTTACTGATTCTGGAGGGACCAGCCATTGTAGATGGTGCCACTCCTGGGCAGGTGGTCCTGCGTGGTTTAAGAAAGCAAGCCGAGCAAGCCGTGGAGAGCAAGCCAGTTATCAGTACCCCTTCATGGCCTCTGTATCAGTTTCTACAGTATCCAGGTCCTTGTCCAGTTTGAGTTCTTGGTCTGACTTCCCTCAGTGATGGATATTACCTGGAAGTATAAGCTGAATAAAGCCTTTAACTCCCCAGGTTGCTTTGGTCAGGTCTTTGTCTCAGCAGTAGAAACCGTAACAAAGACACTGACCTTAAACTGTAACGACTCAGGAGCATGCTCCTTAACTGAGCACACACGGAAACATGCTCATTCCTAATATGCTTTCTTATATGACTACGGGTAGCCTCCCTCCCCCAAGTAAAAGCCTATGCTTCCTTTGTTTGTGGAGGTCACTCTTTTGGAAATTACTCTCCCAGATGACTAAGCATCCAAACGTGTGAATCTGTGGGGGTCATTCTTATTCAAACCACCACACTACTCTTTTAAAAAGAAATTGGTGTTTAAAATGCAGTCCAATGTATCGATCTCATTTTATGATTAGTGCTTTGTAACTCTTAAAGGAATTTTGTTTACCATTGAGAATTTCCTAATGAAAGGGTTGGAGTTGCAACTCAGTGGGAGAATGTTTGCCTGGAGTGCTCAATCCCTGGGTTAGATCTTAAGTCATAATGAAGACATTCTATGTTGTATTCTAGAAGCTTTATGATTTGTTGTGACCTTCCTAAAACCATAGAATAGTCCATTTTCTGTTGCCATAACAATGCCACAGATGACATAATTTATGAGGAAAACTTATAAAGAAATCATTTATTTCCTCAGAGTTCTAGAGTCTGGCCGCAGGATCTGCCTGGCATCTGTAACACAGGGCAAGCTAAGCACAAAGATCTTGACTATAACAAAACACTCATGCAACAGCTTAGTAATTTACTGGCATTAATTCATCAGTGGGTTACTAAATTCACTAGGACAGAGCCCTCATAACTCAATCACCTCTTTTTGACTTTTTCTCTTGAGACTGTAATATAATATATTTAATATATAATTACAACACACACCCCTTCCCTTCCTCCCTCCAAATCCTCCTGTAAACCTTTCTTATTCTTCTTCAGATTCATGGACTCCTTTTTCCACTGTTACTGCAGGCATACACATGTATGTATATATGTGTATATGTGTATATGTGTATATGTATATATGTGTATACACATATATATACATATTCATATACATCCTGCTCACCAATAAATATGCCAAAGTGGATAGAAAAAGTCCACAAGGCATCAACCCTACACAAAGGAATACAGGCAACTGAGGGAAGCTGGGAGAGGTGGTCTTCCCCAGGGAAGTTCATAGCAAATGGTTCTCCAGTTCCAAATGGTCTCCCTTTAATATCTCATGTGCCTCTCTTTCCTCCTCTCCACAGCCTTCCTTCCTTTCCCTGTTTATTTTGTGATCCCATCCCTTAATAGGACCCATCTCATGATGGAAACTGTATTTCAACATGTATTTTGCCAAAATGAGTCAAAACACACATAGCCGACTGGTTCTGTGAGGGGTGTTTCTTTCTGTTCTCTGTTCTCAAGGTCTCGTTTTCACATGGTTAGGCTTGTAGTACTCAATTAGTTTCACATGTTGCCCCCCCAACCTTATTCTAATTAGCATTTTAACCTATTGTCTTAGACAGGGGCTCTGTTGCTATGGTAAAACTACACAACCAAGGGAAACGAGGAAAGAAAAGGCTTATTTCATGCTGTAGCTTGTAGTCCATCATCCAAGGAAATTGGGGCAAGAACTCAAGGAACCTGGAAGCAGGAGCTGATGCAGAGTCCATGGAGTACTGTCTACTAACGTGGAGGCATTTTCTCAATTGAAAGCTCTTCCTAAACGACACTGGCTTGTGTTAAGTTAACAATAAATTAGCCAGGACACTTAGCTACATCTTATTGTAAATATTGTTTTTCCAAAGAGCTATGAAATTCTTGTTTTTTCTCCCAAGAGATCTGCAGTTACTTTGCTCTCTCCAGTGAACTATTTACCTACTCAGTGAAGATGACAGAGTCATCCTCTCTGCTGCTCTTAGTGTGGCTAACAATCTTGGCACATGAAGTTTTCCACGCCAAAACCAAACCAAACCAAACAAACAAACAAACAAAAAACAGTATAGGGGAGCAGGAAAGGAATGCATGAACAGAATTAGCACTTCCCCAGATCAAGAACCTGATGTTTAGCCCTCATCTGATGGCTCCTGGGTCATGAGGATGGTCTACCAGATAGTTATTCTCTGCTCTACTCCCTTCTCCATTCCCGTGTGTTCAGTACACCCTGATGCTCTATTAGCACCCATATCAGCAGTCTTGGCAGCTTCTGCCCAAGGCTGATGAGTAGGAGGTAACTCCATCTCTTCTCTCTGGTGCTAATGTATTCCTTTCAAGTTGTAACTAACCCCTAGATTCCTGTTGAACACCTGGCTGGCGGAGTAAGTGATTAATGAGTTTGTCATGGATCTGGAAAAATCAAACCTTCCAAAGCCCTAACAGATATCCCTCCTCCACCTACGGGGAACATCCTGAGGCCAAAGATTACGTAATCTTGGCAGGATCAGTTCTTTTCCCCCTTTATTGTAGTGTGTGTGTGTGTGTGTGTGTGTGTGTGTGTGTGTGTGTGGAGAGAGAGAGAGAGAGAGAGAGAGAGAGAGAGAGAGAGAGAGAGAACTTTCAAAAGTAGATTCTCATCTTTCATCCACCACATGAATCCTGTCAAGCTTGGTGGTGACTGCCTTAATCTCTGAGCTGTCACATCAGCCCCCAAATATGCTCTTTCTTTTTCAAATGTGCATGAGTGTTCTCCCTGCATGCATGTTTGTGCACTCCCCGCTACCCAGGGAGGCAAGAAGAGGCCTTGGATAACATCTGTAACTGGAGTTACAGATGTTTGTGAGCCAGCATGAGGGTGCTAGGAATTGAACCTGCCTCCTCCAGAAGAGCAGCCAGTGCTCTTAACTACTGAGCCATCTCTGTAGCTCCTCAGAATCTGCTCGACAGAGCAGAGGTTCTCAGCCCCTTTTCCCTTGATTCATCTGACATCTGATTTTCAAAGCCCCTTTGTATGACAGAGCATAATTTCTGTAACTCGAACTCTTTCTCTCTGACACAGAGAAGCATTTGAGAAATGGAAATATCACACTGTAAGCTTAGATCTTTCATTTTCATCATGTAAATTATTTGAAGATTTGGGCTATTAAATAAGAATGTTATTTAATAGTATCACAAAAATTGTGGAGCTTCTTGATTTTTTAATTGATTTCTCATTAATTTTGAAAAATTATTGGCTATTTCTTCTAATATTTCTTTTGTTTCTGTGTGTCTGTCTGTCTGTTTCCAGGATGTCTGTTGCCTATATAATAGACTTTTTGATACATGTCACAACTCTTGGATGCTTGGTTTTGTTGTCAAAAGGTTTGGTTTGGTTTTCACTTCTATTTCACCCTGGATAATGTCTACTGAATTATTGTTAGGCCATTGACTTTTTTTCTTCAGTGTCAAGACTATCTTGGCAAGCAATCTCTGTTAGCATATTTTCTATTTTCAGAATGTCTACTTGATCCTATCTCTGTGTTGGAATTACCCATTCAATCAGAAAGACTACCACATAATAATATTTTGTTGAAAGATACATGGTATTTGAATAAGAAATGTCTCCCACAGGACTATGTACTTGAAGACTTGGTAGTCCTGTCTGTGGGTGGAAAGCAGCTGTAAACATCATACACCTCCAAGATACACAGATACAGCACACTGGTGAAACTCTATTCAAGACTTGAATTTCCACCCATGTGAAAGCCTTCATGCTCAGGGTGATGAATACTCACAAGGAAGAGATTAGTGGCCATTTCTGTCTCTGGCTGCCAATGCTTTACTGCTCATGGTTGGATGTATGGCTTCACCACATCAGCCATAACCATTCCTTCTTGTAGTTTTGATCTCTGGTCACCCCTTATTTGGAACATCCAAGCCACACCCCTGCTGTGCCCTCTCTAAGCTCCTGTGTGTCTCCAGGTCAGGTGTAGCGTTAGTGTGGGTTACTCTCTCTCCCAGCCACTGTCTCCCAAGTACCCTGTGTGCCAAAGAACTCAAGATTCTGAAGAGAAGTGACCATACAGTTGTGGAAGAGGAAGCTGAGCAAAGAAGTTAGGATGAGATGGGAGACAAAGGAAGTAAAGTTGGGGGTGGGGGGAGTGTGTGTGTGTGTGTGTGTGTGTAGATAGAGATAGATAGATAGATAGATAGATAGATAGATAGATAGATATTGATATTATACAGATGACCAATGAAACACCACTGGAGCAACCTCTGTGGAACAGAGGGCTTTGTGATGCAGTCTGGTGCCCTAATTCCATCCTCTGTGAGGCAGCCATGACAATGCCCAATGCTTCTGAGTCATTAGGCACGTAGGCCCCTGAACGACTAATACAGAGATGACTGCTCTCCTCATGCTAATGAGGTTTAGGCCATGTTGAGCCCTGCATGTTCTTTCTGGGACATCAGTTATCTTTTATGTACCTACACCTCCATCTTCATCATTTTCCTAATTACCTGGAAAATAAGACGGACTTACCAGGGATTGAGCTTGGAACCTAAAAAGAGCGACTACCGGGTAGGAAAACACTGACTCTAATTGAACTACTTTAAGCCTAGATACGTAACTTTTACATTCTAAATGCTTCTCCAGATTGTCCCCATTTTGTGCCAAAGGACTTAGAAAAGAAAGTGGTTACAAAGGACCTATAAATAATTCCTTACCACCACTATCCCTGTGCCGCCTGCAATGTACTCCAATTGAAAAGCTAACAGTCCCCCTGTTTGTCTTGAGTTGAGAAATAGATAATAAAAAAACCCTACTGCCCTGGATCTCAGAAGACATCCCAACTTCCGGGGGTGGGGGCTCCACTTGGAGGACTTTGTGAGCAGAAGTCCTCAGGCTGTCGGAAGTGTCTGAGTCTGTTCAGCCTTTCCCCCTGTGCTGTCCTTCCCACAGAAGTTTGTATGAAAGTAGAGACATGAAGAAGGGTGTGGAGAGCATCGAGTGAATCGATAGGCAGAGTGGTGAAAGGCTCAGGTGGAAAGAAAGTCAGATACGTGGGGTGCTGAGGAAATATAGGGAAATGTCTATGATCGATCTTTCATTGTGGACATGAAGAAGAAAATGGAGTCCTGCCTTTACACTGTAATGTTTTTCTCTTTAAGCATCACCGAAAAGTCAGGCAAAGGGCTAGAGATGCAGCGTCAAGAGGTAAAGTCCCACTGTCTCCTGACTACTCACCCCTGGGAGAGCGCCCACCTTCTCTGCTCCTCAGAGCCCCTGCTGCCTAGAGCCAGGTGTTCTAACTTGTGAAACTCTGAGTTCTACAACCTGGGATTTATGAAGAAGACTGCGGTGGGTGGGGACTGGGAGTGTTCCAAAACGTTCTACCTAATTTCCTTGACACTAAGCAGTTAAGAACGTGATGGAGATTACCGTGCAGCAAGGGATCATTTAGCAGTCACTATTTCCTCCCCTCACACTGGGATGGCATGCCTAGGAGAGCAAAGGAAGAAGGGTTTCTTTTGGCCTACAGCTTCAGAGCTTATCCATCCATCCACAGCGGGAAAATCATAGCGACTGAGTGGTTTGTCTCATAGCAGCAAGCACTTGAGCATGGCTTGTTCACATCAGGGCACATCTGGAAGCAGAGTTGCAGGCAGAACAGAATGTGGGCTGCAATCCTTAAAGGCCCACTCCTATAAGGCCCTGGCGCTTGCAACACTCTCTCTTTAGGCTCTCTCTAACTGGTTATGCTCAGTACAGACAGCATTCCTTGTCCAACTTTCTGTATCTCTGGGATCCATCCCCACCATCCTAGGACCTCCATCATAACATGGGCCTCTCTCAGTTTTACTCACAGGTATCCAGTCGCCATGCCTTTCATGCCACAATGGATGGAACTATGTGCCAAAACAAACTTCTTCTCCCTTAAGTAACTTGACAAAATACTAGGTATTTTGTCATAGCAAAGTGGAAATTAGATTAAGAACTAGTTTTATGGGGTGAGAGTTAGTGCGTGTGGGGGGGCGGTGATACCCAGAAGAGGACGTCATCTTCTCAAAAAAGAAAAGGAAGGTTGACTAGAGGGAGGACTTGTGTGATGGGGTACTGGGAGGAGGGGCTGATAATGGGTTGTAAAGTGAATAATAATAATAATAAAAAGAACTAGTTTTATAACCCTGCAAAATTTAACTTATTAGTCATCCACAAAATAGGCACAATACTGGTCAGCCTCACTTGTTTGTGAAGCCCAAATGAAACTGGGCACGGACAGCAAATTGTAAATGGTAGTCTCTGCACAGACACGCCATAGAGCACCGAGTCTAGATGCTCAGCTTCCTCTTACTGAGCTGAGCATTTACTGTTCAGATTCCTGTAGGAGACCCCTAATGTGCTCATTCGCCACATAACCCTGTGTCCTGATTCCTCAGCCAGGAGACTTTCCCGAGAAGAAGCTGAGAAGCCATGGGAGCTGCTCTCTATCATGCAAAGGTGACCTCTTGACCTCTGTGGTCTAAACTCTGATCATTTCTTGGCCTGATCTGGGCCAGGGGGTGAGGAAAGGGGTAACTGAGGGAAGGAGGCACACACTGTGCAGGCAGGTTCACCAGCTGAGAGAACTGCCAGGCCAGAGATGGGTCACATCTCAGCAGGGAAGAGCCACCCCATACCCACTCTGTATGTTAGGGTCTCAGCAGTTCTGAAATTCAGAACGGACTAGCACAGACTCTATAAAGGACATTGCTGGGGTTACACCCAGACACCAAGCTGTCAAGACAGTGAATTCAGCATAAAGAGGTCACCATGTCATATGGGCTTCCCTCTGGCCCCTTTCAAGGGCAGAGCCCTGGGTCTGGCTGGACCCTGCTGATATTACCTCCTGTCTGTCCTCAGGGTGGGGGACCAGTTGCCAGATGCCATCGCCCCATCATCTTACCCTCTAGTTTCTGGAGAGCAGGAATGATTCCCAAGAGTTTCTGGATCTAGCAGCAGGGACACCCCATGCTTTGAGTGAGGACCTCATTTCCTACAGAATAGGGTTAGAACTTGTGGGACTGGAAAAAAGGCCCCAGGAATCTCCAGACACATTCTTCCAAAGAGGCAGATGTAATTTGTCCATTAATGGTTGTCTTTTTTCTCTTCCAAGCCAAAGCTGGCTCCCCAAGGAGGACAATGTGCGGCAGCTCCTGTGTGTAGATCCCGGCTGCCAAATCTGTGAGGTTGCGACTCTAGAGATTCAGCAGTTGCTGCAGAGTGAGAAAAGCCAGCTCTCCCCTGCTTTGTTGGGACTGCCACAGGGCTCTGCTCGCTCTGCTCACCTGGAGATGTTGCCCATGTCTTTTGAACAAAATATGGAGCTTCGTTCCAGACACACCAGACATCTTCCACTGGTGCCTGGCAACCAAACACTAACACAACTAACTGAACACTTAACACAGTTGACCAACACAGTCGGTGTCCAAGAATACTGGACTGATCACCTCCAGCTAGACCAACAATTTCATCTAGCCAACATGCCCATGGTCTCAGAGACTATGGCTTCTTCAAGGCTCAAGGAACCTATGGTTTTAATGATTAAGGAAAAAATAATGCAAAGCAAAACAAAGCTTGACCAGGAAAACCAAGAGCTTCATCACGTGACATCCTCTGTGTCTTTACTATCCCTGGATCCAAAGATCACTAACTTGACACACACTATGTCCTTACGTATGGACTCAATGCTGTCTTCCCACCTGCCATTACTTAGTCCTAAAGTCCGTGGGCTTCTTGAACTACATGTAAAAAAATGGATACATTTCCAGAAGTGGGGTCTTCCCAGACGTGTGGAGGAGTCCCTGAGGCAACTTATGCCAGACCCAACATTATTTTGTCGATCTAGAGAAAATCCATCTTCCTACATTCTGAATAGTAGTTCTAAGGTCACTGAGGACAAAACTGGGATAATTTCCCACAAGACCAACAGCTTATATTTGGCAGACCAGCCCGTCCAGACCTTCTGGGTTTCCGAATGGCCTGTTATAAACCTGAAACAAGGAAGGCCCTGGCACCAAATCCATACTTGCTTGCCCACTCATAAAGCTGAACATCTAGGGAATTTTTATTCACTCCCCAAGGCAAAAGCTAATGACTCAGGGGACAATCCTCAGAGTGAATATTATAGCCAGTTATTCTGTGGCCTTCCATCTCTTCACAGTGAGTCCTTGGTTGTTACTTCCTTGAGCTCTCAAAGTATCTGCAAGGAAAAACACATGTTCAAGCCCTCCACAGATGCTCAGACATCAGGGGTACTCTCAGGCCTTTTCTTACCCAAAACACCATGTGAGTCAGCCCTGCCCTTTTCCCCAACTTCTCCAAATGGCAAGACTCCTTATGAGCATGAAGGAGCACAGATCACTGTCACGTTCCTGACTCTGGCTGAGTGTGAGGTACTGGAACGCCACCTCCTAGAGAAGCAACTCAAGCTTCATTGGGGCCTGCCAGCTCTCCTCCTACAAAACCAGTACACCCAGAGCCGAATGCCGTGGGAAGCACACAGTAAAGCTAAGACAGTAAAAACTTTCTTGGCAAAGAAGCCCATTTCAGATTCCACCAGGGAAATCTTCCCAGAGCATGCGCGCAGGCTGCTGGAATTCCACCTCCAGAAGCAGCTGATTCACCTTCGCTGGGGGCTGCCCCAGAGGATCCAGCGCTCCATTCATATGCTTTTCTCCTCTGCTGACCAGCAGTCCCTGTCCTGTATGGACAGCAAGCTACCCAATGTGAGCATCTCACAGCCAGAGCAGACAGAGGCCGACGGCTCTGGTGACATGTTCTCACCCACAGTGGGCAAAGGGTTAATCCCCTTGCCACACTTGTTTGCCGAGGCAAGGGAAATGTTGAAAAGCCATGTTGATTCCAAATGTGAACAGATCCATGAGGGCAAGGTCCCAGCCCAGGTCTGGAGTTCTTGGGAATGCAGAATTCCTGGAAGCTTGGCAACAATGGCTCCCTTCTCTTGGATTCCACAAGGCCAATGCAGAAAGTTACAGGCAGAAAGCAAAAGTGACCTTGACCTACATCACAAAGTTGTTTCCTGGAAACCAAAGGCCCTCAGCCAGGAGACACAGGCCTTATCTGGTGCTCTCTTTGAACACTGCAAGAGGCCCCAAGCCCTGTCTGAGGAAACCATTAAGAAACTGGAGACAACTTTACATCATAAGTATCTGGCCTTCCTGTCAGGCTTGCCTGCCCTTTACTGTGTGGCGCTCTCTAGGCCTGCATCCCCAGCAGTCACTAGCCAACCTAGACTCAGGGAGAAGATTCCCAGACGTGTCAAAAGCTCATCAAAAGCTCTGACTCAAATTACCCCACTTGAGCCCTGCACTCAGGAAGACAGTGGGGTGTCTGCGGACATTGCAGAAGAGTTCCGGCAGGGAATACAGGCAGACGGAAGGACTGAGAAAGTGTCTCCAGAGAACCAGCCTCCCCAAGACAGACTCTACTCACTAAACACACATATCTTGGCCAAACTGAATTTCCACCTGAAAAAAAAGGTCCTAGCGATGCAGTTTGGGATTTCTGAAAAGGAGAGGAGAGAGTACAAGGAGACTACAGCCGGCCTAGAGTGCGAATCCATCCAGGAATTTCTCAGGAGTCTACACATCCCAGACAGCACTCTCCTACAGGAGCAGCCCATCGCATGCCCATCTCCTCCAGCCCCAAATGCAAAAAGATCCCACCTTAAAAAACAGGCAGCTCTTGCAGTGAGCCAGGAGCAAAAGCAACTTACTTCCAAAGCAGTGCCCCAGAGGCCTGCACAGCAGGGCTCCAAGCCCTCTCAATTCCGAAGGGATATAACAAAGACACACGTCTGTGTTGACATGGACACTGGAAGGAAAAAGCACAACCTAGAGAAACCCCAGGCAGTGGGGGACCTTGGAGAGGGGGATGCAGGACTTGGGCTTTCCCTGCTCAGTCAAACGACACACCAGGATGGAGAGCAGGAGCCAGAAAGGAAGCCCCTGCACAGACCCCAGGGCTCCTCACAGCAGGGCCATAACTTTTATCTTGAGGCTGCCTGTCCACACAGCCTCCAGGAGCCCCCTGAGCTTGAGTTCCCAGATCCACCTCCAGAAATCTTTGTGGAGACAGACTCTGAGCAGGACACGGAAGACAGTCAAAGCAAGGAATATATTGTCCTGGAACCTGCAAGGATTCCTCAAGTCCCCCAGCCTGGAGTCTCCCAGGCTTCCCAGGGCCTTCCTTTCCCATGCTCACCAATTCAGAGAAAGCCTTTTCAGGGCCACACTTGTCCAAGTCACTTTTCACCAGGACATATGATGCCAGCCCCTTCTTACACTAAGCCCAACCATCTTCCAGAGGCTGGCTTGAAAAATAAGATGAAAATCTTTTTTCATTCTATTAACCCTAAGATAAAGAGCAAAACACACTCAGAACCATCCATGGTCTCTACACCTGGAAAGGTAGCCAAAACTAGTAAGGAAAATATTGAAAGGGGTCTGTCTCGAACCAAGATCCCCATCAAGAAAACTAAGTCAGAGGACTCCAGAGGGCCCAAGGCCCAGTCTTCGTCCTCCGAGAAGTCAGTGATGGCCTCCTTGTTAACTGCTCCCCATGTTCTAGACAGTAAGCTCCGACCTTGCTCTCGGCAGCTTGGCCCTGTCTCCATGCTAAGCAACTCCCGCCACTGCCCTCGGCACTGTCCTAGGTTGGCTTATGCCACTCAACACAGAAACCAACCCTAGCTCCCCAGGGTTTACTTCAGAAACGTTCTTCTGGTAATGGAGAACACCCTATGTGGTGACAGTTTCTAGGCTCCCCAACCTCTGTATCCCTTTAAGAGCACACGATTGTCACTTTCCTTGATGAACAGGTGGGGACTGCACTGCCCAAAATGTATTTTCTATCTCCAAATGAGTTGTCTGTCTTCTTTGTCTCTGCTGTACTTTATTAAGAGAAGGTATGAAGGAAACGAAAATGCCCTCATCTCAGGAAGGAGACTTAAGCTTACTTCAGAAAAGTCAGTTTTCCCTACCCCAACCTAGAATGTGAATTAAAATGCTTGACCAGAAAGAAAGTCTCTTGTGTAATATACATTAAAGATAAAAGTCAGGCGTGAATTCCTTCACCAAAATCTGCCTGTCTCATATTTTGGGGCCAAAGATAAAATGATAAGGGAAAAGTTGTGATGTTCTCAATTTAATTATGAAAGTCAAAAGCTGGGATGAAAAAGAATTAGTTAGCGACTGCAGAGAACCATCAAAAAAGATTCTTCATGGTTTGGGACCTTTACCTAAATCGCATCACCACCAGGATTCCTGAGCCCTAATTACGTACAAACATTCTGAATGGTTAACTCCAGTCAATCTAGAAGAAACTAGGTGCCCAGTGTAGTGGTGTGGGCCTTTAATTCCAGCACTTGGGAGTCAGACACAGGCTGATCTCAGTGAGTGTGAGGCTCACCTGGCCTACCTAATGAGTTCAAGGCCAGCCAGGGATACACAGGTTCTGTCTCAACAACAAAAGGTTCAAAGAGACCATCATCATCCTCCTTTCCCAGAACATCACCTCCACCCGTGATCCTGACCTTCTCATATAGAGCCATCATGACAGACAATATTTTCCTCAAAGTTTATAAAAATGTACTTAGCTCTAATGATGACTGTTTCTCAACTGTCGCGTGCACCAGCTGAGGCTGAAAAGTATGAAAACTTGTCCCAGGAATGGATTCCTTCTGGCCGGTATCTAATGGCTCCGTGAATTTTTAAATTCCTTTGTTTCTTGTTTGGGATGACAGCTGCCGGTGCGTAATGACACCATTAGGGACATAGTCTAGCCATTACTTCGCTTTAGGATCACTGATGCCATAGAGTGTGGAGGCCTGACACAGGACAGAGGACTTGGATGAGGATGAGGTCTCTGGAAGTGTGGCTTTGAGAAAGACCTTGTATTCAACAAACATGTTAACTGTGGGCCAGGTGCTTGTCTCTTATGTCAGAGACTATGCAAAACACAAGACATGGCCTTTGCCAAGGCAGAGTTTCTGAACTCTGGCTAGAGTCTTTCTATATATCCAGATTGCTTACTCAATCCCATTATTCACCTCCGACTCTGCAGAGACAACTCCTGAGTGCCCCCACACATACACTGCTCACCTGTAACAACTGTGCTAGTCAGTGTTTCTTACAAAGTCCAATGGCTACCCCATCTTCCCAGTAGTTTGGTCATAGATACTAGTGCCATCCTTGCCTTTTTCATCTCAGAGTCCACATCCAACTCACCAGCCAATCCTGTTAGCTCTACCATCAAGGATGCACGCAGCCTCGGGCCTATTGCCCTGCCCTCTGCTGCTCATCACTGCAGTAGCGCACACGGAGATGACCATAATACAACCGGGAGCACATGAGCTTGAAAAAGCTACTATTACAATTTCAGTCTGGAGGTCATCAGCTCAGTAGTTCCCTATCCAGCATTTTAGGAGGTTTGGGGACATAAATGTACTCTACATAAAAAGACTCCAATAACCAGAAATATTGCAGATCCACAGGTCTTATATAAACTTAGTTTTTACCTTTAATGTAGAGTTTAGAATCCTGGCCCAGAACAACATTTAGGGTTCTTTTTTTTTTTCTCTGATAGACCTATATAGATTAGCTTTAAACATACATTTAGAAAACAGTAGGAATGATCATAGTACATTCCTCTGATACTGTTTCATCTCACACACTGGCAAAAATGATTAAAGCAAGCAGATAAAGGCCAGGGTTCAGGGCTGGAGAGATGGCTTAGTGGTTGAAAGTACTAGCTGCTCTTCCAGAGGACTTGGTTCCCACCATCCACCTGTTGGCTCACAACTGTCTATAACTTCAGTTTCAGAGGATCCAGTACCCTTTTCTGGCCTTTAGGGGCATCAGCGTGCACATGGTACACAACCATACACTCAACACACACATACACACACACACACACACACACACACACACGTATTAAATAATCTCAAAAAAAATATTAAAAAGAAATCTCTTCTAATCCTTTAAAATGAAAAACAAAACAAAGATCAGGTTTTAACCAGATAAAGCAGGATCTTCTAATGAATGTGTTTTGTTTCTGAATGGCACCAAACACAAACAGAAGAAATACCAAGAGTTTTATTGATGATTTAAGCTCCAAATGCCATGCATACAAAATATAGTACTTACTGATTTCCTTGCAGAGTCTAATCTTCTTTTTTTGTTTTGTTTTTGGTTTTGTTTTTGGAGACAGGGTTTCTCTGTGTAGCCCGGGCTGTCCTGGAACTCACTCTGTAGACCAGACTGGCCTCGAACTCAGAAATCCACCTGCCTCTGCCTCCCAAGTGCTGGGATTAAAGGCGTGCGCCACCACTGCCCAGTGAGTCTAAGCTTCTAGTCAGACTTTTGTATAACATTTGCCTGAGGCTCAGATACATAGCAAATGAAGCCTGCAGATGTGTATGCACATCTAGATACTAGATAAGGAATATAAAGTAGAGTATGACAAGCTAAAATAATAAACGTTTATTTAGCCAGAGCTATGAAATGATGACTTAAAACAAATAAACATTCTTTTGAGACTCAGCAAAAAAAATATACATATATAATCTTTATTGACTTAGCAACTGAGGTGGAGACATTAATTTTCAAGATATTTTTAATTTTTATTTTACCAATAAATTTAACATAGTGTCAAAGATTTACCAAAATCATATGAACCCAATAGTATTTACGATTGACTTTTAAACTTAAAAAAATTTATATGACCGGGCGGTGGTGGCGCATGCCTTTAATCACAGCACTTGGGAGGCAGAGACAGGCGGATTTCTGAGTTCGAGGCCAGCCTGGTCTACCGAGTGAGTTCCAGGACACCCAGGGCTACACAGAGAAACCCTGTCTTGAAAATAAAAATAAAAATAAAAAAAATTATATGTATGCATGTTTGCCTACATACATGTATATGTACCATGTGAGAATCTGGTTCCTACACTGGGCATCAGATCCCCTGAGACTGGAGTTACAGCCAGTTGTCAGCTGTATGGGTGCTAGGAACAGAACCCAGGTCCTCTAGAAGAACAGCCAGTGCCCTTAACCACTGAGCCCTTAACCATCTCTCCAGGCCTCATTTAGGGCTGATTTAATTGTTTTAACTTACATGGACACTTGCTAATCTATAATACAATTAGTATAATGTAAATATAAAAACATAAGGCTATATGCAGGCATGCATACTGAACAGGGGTGCACACAGACATTCATAAAAAAATCATAAGACTGGATCACTTTCATTATACACAGCATTTTATCCATTTTCACCTCTCCCCCCCGCCATGGGGTCTTATTAACAGATCTGGCTGTCCTCGAACTCACTGGGTAGAATAGACTAGCCTCAAACTCACAGAGTTTCTCCTGACTCTGCCTCCCCAGTACTGGGATTAAAATCATTAAACCACTACACTCAGTGGTTAAATCTGCATTTCTAAATGCAATACAACTTAGTAGAAATTTACTCAAAAACACTGAGCTTACTCGAAATGTCATTTAAAAAGTCTTGGATAAAAACCCAGTAGAAACTAATAGGTCAGCAAGTGGGAATGTTTTACAGCTTGTAAGTGGGTGTTGCCCCTGACGTAAGGAGCTAATGAGCAGGCAATCCCCTGTCAGCGGGGAATGTCTTTTTCTGTGAGCTTTTTTTAATATTTAGTTTATTTTATGTGCATTGGTGTGAGTGTGTCAGATCTCCTGGAATTGGAGTTACAGACAATTGTGAGCTGCCATGTAGTTGCTGGGAACTGAACCAGTGTCCTCTAGAAGAGCAGCCAGTGCTCTTAACCACTGAGCCATCTCTCCAGCTCCATTGCTGTCCATTTTTAAATGACTAATTAAAACAGCAGGTAGACACGCCTTAGAGACCTGTCGAGGCAGATGTAGATGGTTAGCGTGACTCATTTTCTAATCAGATTCGCCTCTTCAATGTGGAGGCAGAGTATTGCCTCATCCACCCAAAGTACCTGCCTGAGTGTTCTGCAGCTCTTCTCCGTATTCTGTCAGGCCAGAGGCAGAGGGGAAATCACACAGATGTGAGAACCTAGTAGGTCTGGTGCACAAAGCAAAGAGACTTCCCCTAAAACCAATTTCTCCAGCCCAAATGTCAGCCATGGGCTTGTACCTCACAGAGGCTCACTCACCAATGCTCTTCTGTCTCCTCATTTCTGGGATTGATGAGCCCTAGAATCTAAGACGTGGACATCCACAGTACAAGAGAGGAAAAAAAAACAGGAAAAAAACTTAGATGAAAGAAAACACCAAGGTTAAGACAGGCTGTGTAGATAAACATGGTAACAGGATGTATAGGCTACCAAATCCTGGTGCTGATGCCAGAAAAAAAATCCAGGAAGGTCCTCATCTGACGCCAGAAAGATTCCAGAAAGATACTTGAAGATCACCAGTTCTCCACCAGAAGCCTCAGGTTTACAACTTAGATTTCCTGTATCCTGCCAGGGGCAATCGATCTCACAACAGAGGTTCTCCACATAGACAGTCTACTGCATCATCTCAGTAACACATTCCTGCCTTACAGTGAGTACCAGAAACAACAGCAGAAAGCAAACCTATCCCCCACCCCTACATACACACACATACACACACACATACACACACATACACATATACATACACATATACACACATACACACATACATACACATACACACACATATATACACACACATAC